TAAAATTCTCTTTAAATTATGATAATTATAAAATTTTAAATCACCACTTCTAATTGAATTTTTGAAATTTATAATAAAATTAAAGATATTTTATAAATTACCAATTTTTGAAGAAAATTACCAATTTCTTAGGAAAATTTAATAAAATTCAAAGTTAGTACTTTATAAAATTGCTGTAAAATTTATTATAATCAGTCAAAGTTGGAAACATGGAATTTATGAAATTGTTTCAAAGTTTATTACAAACTGTCAAAGTTGGAAATTAGTAATTTATGTAGTTGCTTTAAAATGTATTAAAAACAATCAAAGTAAATTTCTTGAATATTCAATAATTATGAAGTAGTTTATGATACAAAGAATGTACATTAGTTGGAAAATCTTATTATATAAACTTCCTAGGTCATAAATTCCTAAATACAAAAACTAAGAAGAACAAAAGTCATAAATATGAATAATTACTTTGTTTTTTTCATTGTTACTGTTTTGTGTGTCGGATCAAACAATATTAGTCATTCGCTTCCAAAAAATAAATTATATTTTCAAAATCATTTTAGTCTAGATAAAGATGTTCTCATAATCCATTGTAAATCTGAAATAAACGATCTTGGTGTACACTATTTACATCATTCAAGTAAGTATACTATTACGTTTGGGGATAACTTTTACGGTGGAACACGTTTCGATTGCATGCTATGGCATGGGTTTAATTTTTTATATCATCAAAACATTAAAGCGTATAGGCAAGCTCTTTTATCTGTAACATTTGGTAAATTTTATATATGGGATGCTAAAGATGATGGAATCTACTTATCAAAAAATGGTGGTGCGCCAGAATTTAAATATGGTTGGTTGTCTTGATGTAATAGATTTCATAATATGAATCATATAAAAAATATTTAAAATTATTTATATGTTTAGATTTTCGGACTATATTTAAAAAAGCTGAAGAACGTGCAAGAGATCAATGTGATCTTCATCTGACCAATCTTAATTTACAATATATCGTTAGGCAATACAATTGTCATAATTCTACGATAGGATTCTTTTTAGATGAGATTTGTCGATAACAAAGAAAGCCTTCTTCGTATTTGTTTGATATTTTCTTTCTAGTCTGGAATGTTAAGCAATTAGTGCTAACATGAAAAGAGGCGTAAACACAAATGTCACAACATACTCAGAATTAAAAAGCTTTCGTAAAAATGTTTGGTTCAATTAGATAGAAAAAAATTAATACCTTGCACGTTGCGCGAGATTTTATTTTAAACTGCTAACAATACAAATCATTTTAGTTTTAAAATATAAAATTATATATATTTATTTTATTAAGTGATATAAAACATAAAATATTATCTCGATAATATTTTATTTGAAAAACAACGAATTACTTTCTGCCACATGCTAAAAATATAAGTTATGAATCTTAGAAAACGACTTGACTGATCATCCCACGATCCATTATCTCAAAGAGAGAGTTCTTTTCATATTCAACTCTCATGAAGACATCTCCAAAGAAGCTTTGGTATTTGATTATTGACTCTGTCCCATCACATCACATTTATATGATGAAATTAATTAGTTCGACTTTAAACCTGATAACCTAGTCCAATAATTTATGTCTTGTGTTTTATGAAAACTTATTTATCCTAGAAAATAATTGAGATCTAAAAAGTTTTTTTGTTAATCTTGTGCATATAACTTTCGAAATTTAGTGAAATTCTTTTTGAAAACTTTTTCACTAACATTTATATGGTTATCTTCCAATATGCATTTGTGCCCTTCTGTTAGGGCTGAAATTATGATCCGAGATCTTAGATCCAATGCGATACCCGCTCCGAAAATTAGGATATCTAAAAAGTTCGGGTTTAGATAAGGATTGTAAATTCTCGGATTCGTGAAAAGAGGAATCAAATCCAGATAGTAAAATTTAAAAGTACGGATATATAGATCCGGATCCGAACGCATTAAATATATTAAAAACATCTATTTTTACATATGTTAAACTATTTATATTAAAGTATATATAAAAATTGATTTTAGTTCTTTTTACTATACATCATATTTAAATATCATTCAAAAATTTAATTAATATTTTTAGAAAATTGTTTTTTATTACTTTAATTATTTTCATATTTATTAATTTTTTAATGAAATTTAAATCTAAAAAAAATCTACCATTAATGAAATGATTATTATAAAATTTATTTAAAATCTGGTGCTATTAGATATGATATTTGTAAAATTTATTTCAAAGATTTTATATCTGTCTCTTTGTAGTCAATATTAGGTTATATCTTCTTCTTGTGGAAGTGATCGTTGATGATGAATTCACTGAATTTTAGTACGATTTAGTGTTTAGAGATCTATTTAGTATTTTATAATTTTATATGTGGATTGAAATCGATCTTAACAGCTATTCCAACGTAATTATATTTCTCTTTTATTCTAACTACTTGTGGAACATTTTCACAAGAACATTTTCGTTTTGGATCTTCTAAAGCATATAGCTTCTTCTTATAGAGATTTTTGGTTGAATATATTCAAACATTTTGGAGGTTGGTATAACCGAAAACTCAAGAAATGGTTTGCCATTGTTTTTTTGGTTGAATCAGATGGAGAATATAGAGCAAATTGTTGATTGATCTAGTACAAGTTTGATCACTTTTTGGCTAAATCAGAGTCTCATTTTGATGACATAAAGAGTTTACAGAGACAAAAACAAAGGAAAGAGAATTCGAATACCGAACACTTATCGATCCTCCAAAAAGAGAAATAACCAACCAGATGTTTCTTCTACTAGAAGAAGAGTCGCGCATCAACGAAGTCTCMTGGCTTCTCTCTCGGACTCGAGCAAGGTAAGGATATCACCTTCTCTCACTGGTCCTTTAACATTTCGCATAATGAAACGATCAGAGTCTGTAAATTTGACTCGAACCTGAGTGACCTGACCCCTAGACCCAGTCCTACCCATGACCTTAACCACCACGGCGTGCTTAGTCTGAGAATCCATTTCTGATTCAATAAACAAGACCCACTCTATCAGAACTCAAACTTAAGAGAATGCTTACAAAACCAAAACTATTCAGCAACTTAAGTGTGAATCTTTTCTCATTAAGCAATCAATCAAAGTAATCAAGTACTTATTTTCCTATAAAGCAATCAATTTTTTTTCCCCAGAACAATGCGTCACTAAGCAATTTTGAATCTGCTTCGATTGTATTCATCATGAAACAAAACAATGCACGAGAGTACTGACTACTAACTACGAATTGAAATAAAACCAAGTTAAGAAGCTTTGATTCTCATATCGTAACAGAAGCGAAACTAGGGATTCAATTATCTAAACTCCTAACGACAGATTCGAGACAGATTTCGCCGACAAATTTATAAGAGATTGCAATCAATTTTAGATTAGTGAAACAATGAAGAAACCTGTAACGGAGAACGCAGTGACGGTGAAGGCAAGAGCTTTCCGGCGGCGATAAACCCTAAATTTTTCAGAGACTCGAGTATATATATTTATAGGGTTCCTTAAGTCTCGAACTCGGTTCTCAATAAACCGAGTTTTAAAGCCGGTTCGTCCATGTATTCTTCTTCTAAATTCTGGGTTTCGATACCCTAAAATCCAATCCCAAGATTTTTGATCGTTGTGAGAAACCCTAATTTCATTTCAGAATGTTGCAGAAATGGCGTAATTTGAGAGTTTCATTGCAAAAAGCATCAGCTTTTTCAAGTTCCTTCTCATCTGCTAGTGGAGATGTTCTCAAAGGTAAGATTTTTAAGTGTCTCATACCTCGTTGATTCGTTGGGTTTAACTACAAAACTCGCAGATTCAGTTCTCAATCTTTTGACTAGTAATGGGTTTATAGATTCACAGATCTCAAGCATCATTACAGATTATCCAGGATTGTTAATGCTCGATGCTGAGAAAAACCTTGGTCCTAAGCTTAGGTTTCTTCAGTCAAGAGGAGCTTCAAGCTCTGAGATCACTGAGATTGTTTCAAAAATCCCTAAAATCTTGGGAATGAAAGGGATAGCTATTAGTAGATACTATGATTTCGTCAAAGTGATTGTACAAGCTGATAAGAGTGTCGAGTTTCGAAAGTTATGTCATTCTTTACCACAAGGTATTAAGCAGGAGAACAAAATCAGGAATGTATTGGTTTTGAGAGAGCTTGGTGTGCCTCAGAAGCTCTTATTCTCTATGCTCATCTCTCATTTTCAGACTGTATGTGGGAAAGAGAAATTCGAAGAATCGCTCTAGACGGTTCTCGAAATGGGATTCGATCCTACCACTTTGAAGTTTGTTCATGCTTTACGGATTATTCAAGGATGGAGTGACAGAACAACTCAAGAAAAAGTTGATGTTGTATGTAAAAAGTTGGGATTTGCTAGTGTGGGAGATGTATGGGAGATTTTCAAGAAGTGTCCAATCTTTCTTGCACGTTCGGAGAAGAAGATAGCAGACTCTATCGAGACGTTTCTAGGGCTAGGATTCAGCAGAGACGAGTTTACGACCATAGTTAAGCGATACCCTGAGTGTATCGGATGTTCTGCAGAGAATGTGAAGAAGAAGACTGTGTTTTTGTTGAAGAAGATGAATTGGCCTCTAAAGGCCTTGGTTTTGTTCCCTCAGGTATATGGATTAAGCATGGAGAAGAGGATTGTACCAAGGTGTAATGTAATCAAAGCTCTCTTATCCAAAGGATTTCTCAAAAGTGAACTCCCTCCAATGGCGCCTGTCTTGGCGATTACCGATCAAGCTTTCTTAAACAAGTATTTGAGGAAGCACGAGGAGGATAAGGAGCTTGTAGCTGAGTTGATGGATATCTTCAACCGGAGATCGAACTCTTGATGCTTGACTATAGGAAACAGAGGAAAAACAGAGCAATCACAATTTCCAACCCAAATTTCAATTTCCTTGTAATGCGCAATCGATAGGGAAAATAACAAATTGTAATCTTTGGTTTTTGGAACTCTTCTCCTGAGTTTTTGTTGAGCCTGAAAAAAGGAAAAAAAAAGGAAAGTTTGCTTTGTATTTTTTTGTTTTCCAAAATTATAAAGGTTTAGGATTATTTTCTCAAAAAAGGAAATAAAAGTTTTAAAACTCATAACGCAATTCTTCCATAAATATAGATTATACTTGTTTTTGACATTCTCACACAAGTACATTGGCATTCATTTTATCATTACAAATATAATGTCTATCAAAGAGATTTTTGCGAAAGTCGACAAGAACAAAGATGGGAAAATCTCGTGGGACGAATTCGCGGAGGCGATTCACGTATTCTCTCCTTCAAGAACATCAGAAGAAATCAGTAAGATGTTTAGAGAGCTAGCTTGATACAAACGGTGATGGTCAAATCGACGTTAAAGAGTTTGCTTCTTGCTTGATAGTTAGCAGCGACGGAGAAAAAAATGTGTTACGATGGTTCGAGCCGTTGATGCAGATGGTGATGGTTTTGTGAGCTTTGAAGAGTTTAAGGTTATGATGAGTTCTAATAACACAAAATAATCATTATGATCTTTACCTAAGTTTTTTTTATTGTTTTAGTTGTTTTTTGGTTTTGTTTATGAATTTGGTTTGATGATCAAACTTTTTTACAAATGAGTTTATAATTATGATTTATTTTTTATCTCTGAGAAACCAAATTTACATATCGGACAAGTAGATTTGTGTGGATGAATAATTTTATTTGGATTCGTGTTGATCTCTTTTTAACAAAAGGGCTCTTAAATATAAGTTTGTTTGGATACGAATTAAGATCGATTCAATCTAG